AACCATGGCAACACCGTTCATCGAAATCAAAATCCGATGCACTAAATTATGTATCTTAGTGTAGTCTACTCGTGTGCCAAGTTATAATGAAATCAGACCAAAACTGTAGGAGGAGTAGCTTTTAAATGAATGTCACAGAAATTTCTATTTTTAGTAACCATGGCAACACTGTTCATCGAAATCAAAAACCGATGCACTAAATCATGTATCTTAGTGTAGTCTACTTGTGTGCCAAGTTATATTGAAATCAGACCAAAACTGTAGGAGGAGTAGCATTTTGAAAAATTGTTTACAGACAGACAGACGGACGGACGACGGACACCTTACTATCGCATAAGCTCTTCTGGTCTCTGACCAGTAGAGCTAAAAAGTAAGAGTCCTATGTAAATAAGTCTCAAAGGCAAAAAAAAAAAGCATTTTCCAAATATGGTAATCTACTATTTATTACTTCAATGACTTTTATAATTTAGCTGTGCATTTCTTTGCAAATCATTTACTATTTCATTTAACAATAAGGCCTTGTAGCCCGAGTGAAAATCATGTGCGGAAGTCAGCGGTCAGTTTCTCTCGATCTGGCTATATGTACATCATGTGGTCCAGTTAATGAAGACTCTGGTCTGTCTCTTATCAAACAGGGAATAGTGTACCGTGCAAATCGGAATTATTTAAGATTAAAAAGGGGAATCCTTGAAACCTTAAATTTGAAATTTTAACATTTGCAGACAGAGTTTTATCTTGTTTTCTTTTCTTTCTCTTAAATTGTAATTATTATCACTCTCACTGCAAGAATTTCTCACATATAATTGTCAGGAGGTCTCTCCACGATTTCATTAGATATTTTTCTTACTGTCGCACCGAGCTCCCCGGTGACAAAAGGCGTAGGGAAATCACGTTTATATCCCGATCAGAAACCTCTGCTATAATTGACACGGCTGATTGAAGTCTGGCGGAAGGCAAGGTTTCCAATCCCAGCAGCTGTCATCCCTCAGAACACAAATAATTCCACTTTATCACGTCACAATGTCCTCTCCCTCATTTCCAGAGGAAGCTAGCTGTACAAGACACAGCAGATTCCCTGTCTAAAGTTAAGCTTTAATTGATTTCCTAGCTCCTTTTATAACTTTAATATAAAAAAAGGTTTCATTTCTCCAGTAATGCAATAATTCTTGTCATTATGACCTACTTTATGTTAAACCGTCGCTCCAGGAATGGACTAAAAATCATGAGTATTTTTTAACGTGATTTATTGGCAGAGATTTCATTTAACTGGTTAAGACTGATTTTAATCTATTTAGGATATTAACTCTTATGAAAAACGTAGGTAGCTGTGTGGTGAAATTGTTACCTTGCTTTTAGAATATATTCCATCTTTTTAAACCATATGTTGACGTTTATTTGAGTTACAATATTGACATCCTGTTTTAGAATGTTTTCTTCAAAATGATGAAATTTAAAGTAATAAATAAACGTTAAACTCTCAAATCCATTTAGGCTAGAAATGTTAATCATGTATGGATGGTGTTAAAGTTGTTCAAGAGATGACTGCGTAGATGAAGATTTTGTAGCGGAGTAATCAAGATGCCCTTTGTGTGCTCAACTCTACATACACACGATGTTTTAAGATAAAAAAAATTGTATGTACAGAATAATTTCAATGGCTTTAGGTCTGACTACACGTTTCTCGAATATCTGTTTTGCATCTCTTCGTAATACATGTATATAACAAATAAATCATAATAATCATTTTTTGAAATTTTTAAACTGTTTTCAAGATATCTAAGATAAAGACACCCCCCCCTTCAAAAATGTGATATTAGATGGGATAGTGATTTCTAATAGAATTAGATAGCAAATAACATCCACTGGTATCTTAAACAAATGCCTTGTAAGGTACCTTAATTTTTTGTGAGGAAACTTTTTAAAGTAGCAATACATCAAAAACATTCTTGGAAAAAATACATATTATTGAGGAACGTGTCATCTGACTTTAAGGTTGAAATAGACGTGCATTTAGATTTATCTTCATGTGCCTGACATTTACAGATTGGAGGAATACGGTTATCATGATTAAATTTTTTAGGACAGACAGGATTCTCTATCTCTAATAGTTACCTGACATAGTTTTACGTGTCAGTAGAATGCTCTCTATATGTGAACATGCTTAATACCCGAATACCTTTAGAAAATCGGAACCACGCAGTCTTTCATCTCAACATTTAGAATTTTACTTAATATCCTGTTCCGGTAGGTATTATTTCTTTTGATCGGCCGAGGTTGATCACATTTCATTCTTTTGATCAGCTGAGGTTGATCACATCAGATTCCATCTTGGTATCCGGCAAATTAAGCTACGCTTACTTGACGCGACGTCTCTTTTGGTTACGTTGCAGATTTCCGAGACATTTTTTTTCACATATACTAAATAGCATTTTCTATAATTATTTTCAAAATTAACAATATGTTTCAAAGAAAACAAAATTATATTTTCTGTAATGTGCGCAAGAATTTTTTGCGAATGTAAACTTGAAGTTCATCTTTCATTTCGAAACAGTATTGCAAGTAACGCACAGTGTTTTCTGGGGAATTTCCATTTGAATCCCAGTCACGGATGTGGATTGTAAATTGTTCACTAGAGAAATTTTTTTTAAAATTGAAATGATAGGACAGGTACAATTTCCACAAGCTTATATTAATGGAACTTAGGGTACATATTTGCACCTTTAATAAATATGTGACTGGAAAATATATGAAGTTAGTTGTAAAAGATTATTCAGATAAAATACAACGTATACTGTAAAATACTGAAATAACGAGGTGCCAAGGACGAAAAAATGTTATTCGTTATAAAAGTAATTTCCTTAATCCGTAAAGTTCCTGATGTGTTTTAAACTACAAGGATTGAAACCGTGTTTTACTGTGCATGTAAATGATCTTCTTCCAAAGAAAATTAAAAAAAAATGTTTGGTTATATATGGTACACAAACACAAGTGAACATGTATGCAACATTACTTTGTAAATAAACGATGTTAATTTTCAGTACAGGAACACGGGAATATGAAATTTGACAAATCCATTAGGAGTTTATTATATATAATTACGTCAATATTAAATACACAAGCATTTCCATTATAAGTCGATTTACTGGGAAACTAATCATGTAATTTTGAAGGTAAATACATTTTTACATCCACCAAGAAAATGCAAAATTTAAAAGATGACCCTACTTAAGTCAATTCTAGTAATGTCACCAGACCGAAGTCAGAGAGAAATATTCTTACTGTTCCAACCACATTTGTCCACAGATGGCTCAGGCAATATTATTTGAAGAAACATCACAGGAATAAAGTCCTTTTGTGCATTCAATTTTTTTAAATTTCCAGAATTGGGACCGTTGACATGGAAATGCACGAAATCTTCTCAGTAACTGTCCAACAACTTGTTTTACATAATAATGTCACATGTATATACGGGTCTACCCGAGTTTAGAAAATAGCATTCATATGCTTTTGCTTTAAAGAGCAAAGCTTCTAGTTTTACTTTTCTTCCCTCCTTTTTAATTTTGTTTTGTTTTTCTTCTATCTTACTGTTTATATCGATTAGGGCTGTGTCAGTATATCAATACATTGATACCTTTCGATATTCAAGAATGTATCGTATCGAAAAAATAACTCCCAATACGTATCGGGCAGACAGTTTTTCTTTTTCCTGGTAAAAAGTTGGGAATTTCAATCACCAAAGATTGACTGTTAACTGAACTAAAACTGATCAATAACGATACAAACATTATGGAGATAGCACATCTTAAATAATCATTACACAATACGTATACAACTATATTTTAACATGCTGGTTAAACAGTCATTAAAAGTTTGAATTTGAAGTGTATTTTGTAATTACAGCGAGACAAAAGGATAAAATTTATGCATTAAACGACTTAAGACTTTTTAATAGACTTGTTAAAGTTACATAATGAGTCAAAATGATGTCTTTCTTTCAAGATAATTGTATCATAAAACATGAGATTTATGTGAAATATGAATAAAGCGAAGTTTTGACTACTCAACTGCACTGTAAAGCAAGAAAAGAACTGCAAAATGTAAGTGCCGGAAAAGCAAAGGTTGTATCTATCGCTAAGTTGTTATCGTCAATGTCAACAATGTCAAGGTCACACGACGTTTATTCTTAGCAATGAAACTTGTAAACAACTTTGAATTGGAGCAAGAAAAGTGAGGAAAAATTTCTGATCATCTTTATTGAAGATTTATCAAAATCCTTGGTCACCTGACATGTATATCTATGGAATTGACACCATGGTAAATTCTTAAACTTTTCTGCGCATGTGTGCAAGAGGAAAAAGTGGAGCAATATTTTTGTGTTGGGGCAAACAAAAATTATTTTTACTTTTATTTTTCCCCATAAATGTAGATTTTTTAGGTTCTGAAAAATGTAATTTTCTGAAACCTAGTATCTTCCAGAATTGAATAAATTTGCATGTGTCATGCAGAAATTCTACTTTTGACAATTTTCCTCGTTTTCCATCACGGTGTCTCTTTAATGAATCCAATATATCGCATATCGCTTTATAAAGTATCGTATCGTATCGAAATTTTTTGCTCAATACACAGCCCTAATATCGATATAGTTTCAAGCAGAAAGCTTGTTATTGCCTTCTTGCAAGATTATTTTAAGGGAATTCTTTTACATGTATGGCTTGGATAGAGTCGCATACACGTTACCTGATAACCTGACTTTCAAACCCTTATCCTTCAATAGCTGTATCAATTTGCTATATGATAAAACCTATAAAATGTAAAATGAACAGCAACAAGTGATTAGTGTTCTGCTTTCATCTTCTTCCACCAGTTTTCCTTATTATAAAATTAATTCTCTCCAAACAGATCTCGTAAATTCCAATCGCCATCCTGATACAAATTGTTTTCATTTTTCCCTCATCATGTTATCCATTACAATGTGAACAAAATTTACCCTGCTATAGAAATAACATTAATATGAAGTAATTTATTTCAAATAAACAACATCAATGTCACAATAAAAATATACATGGTTCTGTTAAGAATGTGTATTCATTCATTTCTGAATTATTTCATTTTTACATTGTAAAAGAAGTTTATCCTAACTATCAAACAGAATTCAGTTTTATCATCCACCATACTGTAAAGGGATGTGCATGTAGCCTTGGTTAATTCCTTTTTAAAAAAAATCGAATCAATTTCTGAATTAGATTAGTTTTTTTAAACCTTCACGTTTTTCGTTTTGTCGTTTAGAAGGCCTAATTTAAGCTATTGAAATTATAAAGAAATTGAGCTACAAACATCCCGTAATACAGTATGCAGAAGACCATTTTCTATTTTAATGTTCTACGGAGTGAAGCAATGGGACCTACAATGCTTCAGCAACGTAGACACAGCATAAGTAACAAAAAGATGTAAATAAATCGTAAATACGTGATGGTACAACTTAAAATTGCCGCTGATCAACTTGTGTTTTTACTCTGTTCTTTCTTTATCTAGGGTAATTTGAGTCCTATTTCCACGTGGCTGTTTGGTTTATGCAGCGTTATAAAAATACTTAAACTTAACATCATGCCTTGAGATCCAGTTCATTTTCTTATTTGGCAATGTCTCATGGTTAAGTAAATCTTTGCAAACTGCTGATATTTTGGGGGGTGTGGCTCGCAAATGTGACGTCGACATACCGATTATCAGTCCACTTCCTAAAGCAATCCCTTTGTTCAGCGTTTTAACAGGCACTACCAGATGGCTTGGGCTATTGTAGATCTCTGTTTAGTTGTGTTTTTGCGCCTCGTAAACGCATAGTGAATCAACGATAAGTTTTATCTCACAATGATGGTGTCTAAATAACTCGTACCTAAGATGAGTTTTGGCTCACACGGAATCATCTGTTGTGTCTGCGTTGAGCTGATTGAGGTGGACTCTCTCCGATTCGGTGTCATAGAACACCTTTGGTTTTTTCATGTTGTTCATTTCATCGGACTCTCTTTGGGGTGATCGGTTGATCAGCACAGACGGCTGATTGTCTACGTTGGTGTACTGAGTGTTTGTGGTACTTCCGTTCACGTAACGTTCCCGATCTCCTCGGAATAGACAAGGCAACACTTGTTTGAATTCCTTTCTAAAGTTATCATTCATCCACGCATAGAGAAAAGGGTTATAAATTGTAGAACTCACAGCTATGACGTGCGCAATAAAAAATATAAGAGTAAAATAATAACAGTATTGATAACTCTTTTTGTAGGCAACTGTCACATTGACAATATTGAGCATTAGCCAACAAAGCACAAATATGGTTACCATGGCGATAAGCATTCTATTCGTTCGACGTTTGCGTCTTATTTCTAGTTCATCTCTTTCGCGACATTTTGAACCACTTCCAATTTTAGTCCTGGAGCGTTTTTTGAGCGCCAATGAGACCTTAAGATAGCAGTATGTTATAATGCTACAAGGCACAACGTACTGTAGAACTAGGCTTGTGACGGTGAAAAACTGACCAGCTTGGTCACGTGGCCAGTTCTCGTTGCACCTCCAGTCTCCGTTATTGTCATTCTGAGATAATTCCATATATATACCCAGTGGAAGTGATATGGAAATAGAAATGATCCAAATGGCCACTATTACGATCAAACAAACGAATACCTTCATCCGGGGTTTAAATGGATACACAATAACAAAGTAACGATCCACAGCAATGGCTGTTGAGGTTAGTGTGGACACATAGACACTTATTGCTTGGGACATAGGAACTATGTGACACAAAGCCTCTCCAAACATCCAAGAATTCAGAAAATATCCCAGTGGTGTAAAAGGAATTGATAACAGACATATAAGAATATCGGAAACGGCGAGATTGGTGATAAATATGTTGGTGATTGTCTGCATGGTTTTGTTCCGGACTACTACATACACAACAAGAGTGTTGCCACTGAGACCAAGGACGAAAATGATGACGTAAAGGCCAATAAAGAGGACAGCTAGTTCTGATTTCTGCATGACTTGATCCGGCTCGATCATGATCCCCGCTGTCGTCATCTCAGTGACGTTACCAGTGACGTTATACATAATGGTGCTCTGGTTCATTTTGGCTACGGTCGAATAAATTAACCATACAAACCTGAAATAGTAAACGATATTTATTCAATGGTAAACTTTTAAAAAATGTAAATAGTCGTCTGATATTTTTGCTTAAACGTAGTTTTGCCATTCAGAGATCAGACACGCGCGGAATGCTACCACACTTTATGTTTCTTTATCATGTTTTGTTTTGTTTGTCAGGCTTAAGAACTCTTTATTTACAATGCACTTTGTAATTTTCTATTTAGCTTGGAAAAGTTTCCTCGACTAATTTTGAATCATGATCAGCTTCTTATATATGTAAAGGATAACATTATTATGATATGATATAAATTATGACATGTCTATTATTTAATTTAAAAAAAAACAACTTATTTTTCATTTAAATTACACAACACTTCAGTATTTTTGATTGAGTTAGAATATGAATATTCACTCTCAAATTTCCATCAAAACAGGAACACCCCCCACCCCCCAATAAGGACTAGCGTACTTTGAGGAGGCCTTGCCTCATTTTTTAGCTCACCTGAGCTGAAGGCTCAAGTGAGCTTTTCTGTTTAACGTTGTCCGCTCGTCTATAAAAGTTTCCCATCTTAACTTTTTCTCAAAAACCACTGGGCCAGTTTTAACTTAAGTTGGTACAAAGCATACCTGGGTAAAGGGAATTCTGAATAGTGAAAATGAAAGGCCAAACTCCTTCCAAGGGAAGATACATGTAATCAAGAACAAGAGGCCCATGGGCCACAACGAACACCTGAGTAACTTCGGCCTTGCTGTTTTTCACCTGATTTCCCACTAGTACTTATTGTGGCCCCGCCCTACCCCCAGGGGTCATGTGAACAATAAGAATCTACACTATCCCAGGATGCTTCCACTAAAGTTTCAGCTTTTCTGGCCCAGTGGTTCTTGAGAAGGAGATCTTTAAAGATTTTTTCCTACATATTTCAATGCAAAACTTGGATTCCCAATTGTGGCCCCGCCCTACCCCGGGGGTCATGATTTCAAGAATTTAAAATTTACACTACCCCAGAATTCTTCCACATAAGTTTCAGCTTTTGTGGCCCAGCGGTTCTAGAGAAGAAGATTTTTAAAGATTTTTACTTCATATTTCAATGTAAAACTTGGGTTCCTTATTGTGGCCCCGCCCTACCCCTGGGGGTCATGAATTGAATAATTAAGAATCTACACTACCCCAGGATGCTTCCACATAAATTTCAGTCTTTCTGGCCCAGTGGTTCTTTAGAAAAAGATTTTTAAAGATTTTTTTCTACATATTTCAATGTAAAACTTTGATTCCCTATTGTGGCCCCGCCCTATCCCTGGGGGTCATGATTTGAACAATTCAGAATCTACAATTCCCCAGGATGCTTCCACATGAGTTTCATCTTTTCTAGTCCAGTGGTTCTTGAGAAGAAGATTTTTAAAGATTTTTTCTACATATTTCAATGTTAAACTTGGATTCCCTATTGTGGCCCCGCCCTACCCCTGGGGGTCATGATTTCAACAATTTAGAATCTACTCTACCCCAGGATAATTCCACATAAGTTTCGCTTTTCTGGCCCAGTGGTTCTTAAGAAGATTTTTAAAGATTTTTTTCTACATATTTCAATGTTAAACTTGGATTCCCTATTGTGGCCCCGTCCTACCTACGGGGGCCATGATTTGAACAATTTAAAATTTACACTACCCCAGAATTCTTCCACATAAGTTTCAGCTTCTCTGGCCCAGTGGTTCTTGAGGAAAAGATTTTTTTAATTATCTCACCATATTTTTGTCTTTTCTTGATTATCTCCCCTTGGAAGGGGGCTTGGCCCTTTATTTTAACAATTTGAACTCCCCTTTATCCAAGGATGATTTGTAACAAGTTTGGTTAAAGTTGTCCCAGTGGTTCTTGAGAAGTTGAAAATGTGAAAAGTTTACAGACGGACGGACAACGGGTGATCAGAAAAGCTCACTTGAGCTTTCAGCTCAGGTTTGCTAAAAAGCAAAAAATAGGATGTGGTCATTCTTCTCACGGCCCCCGGAGATATGATGGGACCACAATAGGGATCAAGAACCACTGGGCCAGAAAATCTTAAACTTATCTGAAAGCTTCCTGAGGTAGTGCAGATTGTAAATTGTTCAAATCATGTACCTGGGGATATCAATCTGGTAGTGTACAATGTGCTGATGCACAACAGCAGGGCCAAAGTTCTGGTGTAAGCGTTGCTGCCCAAGAATCTCTTGTTATTCTTGTTTTCCATGTTTCAAAATTAATTTGTTTTAAACATAGTCTGATAAATTGTTGCCTGTTTTTGAGACTGTGTTTACGAGAGAAACCCTCGGGTTTTATTTCACCGTTTTCTTTTCGCTATGCTGTCTCCCGGCAGCACGGACAATCAACCTCTCGGACGAAAGTTAATGAATAACAGATACTGTTCCTTGAAATTCTCCATTATAAGACTCTTGGGTCTTCGTGTGAAACAGCACTAATCAAACCATAGCACGAGGTTAGAGTCGAAACTTCAACTCCAAACAATTTATTTGATTTAGGGAGACAGTCTTTTACAAAAAAGCGCTCTCAAATTGCACGTTACTTGTGGGAAGTAATTGATGTGATACCTACAAAATGTGTGGAAAAGAGCGTTTATTTCCCTATTCCTGCTCATTTTCGGGCCTAGACATGTAGAACTCATTTCCGTTCAGGCTCAGTGACAAATTGATAAATTTTATCTTCATTTCAAATTTCCGATACACAATATTCGTTGAAATACAAGTATTCTGTACCATTAATGCCTGAAGACAATTATTCCTCTGTTACGGAGAATGAACTTTAAATGGACCTTGATAGATCCAAATAACAAAATGAACAGCTTCATAATAACGCCCTCTATTTAAGTATTATTTAAATCAATAGAAAGCAAGAGGTATTTTTATACAGAAAATTGAGTAAAAAAAAATATAAACATCAAAGAGGTTTGTATGCTGTGGAATAATGATGGTCTGGAAATCTTTAACAAACACGTTACATGTACATAAAATTATTATTAGGATACAATTTCAATTTCTTCGTAATATCTGAATATTATTTTATGTACTACAAATATGTTGATAATCTGAGAGAGAGAGTGTGTGTGTGTGTGTGTGTGTTAACAGATTAAGTAATATTAAAATGAAATTTACCTTCACTTACAATATTAATGTTTTATTCTGAATTACTTAAGGCAGATAAAAGAAAACGGGGGAAGGGACTTTCTTTAACCTTTGCCTAAAAAAATCCATTTCAGACATGATAAAATCAGGAGTGAAAGCTAAAAGGCTACCATAGACTTCTATCTTGATATGACACAGGTAGTGAAATTATTAGATATTTGCTCATAAGGCATCAAACAGGGTTGTCCCTAAGAACTGAAATAGCAGGGGACATAAAAAAAATAGAGGAGGGTCTTGATTTCCTCCCCTAACAGGGGTTGAGGGGGAATAACAGAATAACCAGGGGATAACGTCATTATAGGCGGGGGGGGGGGTTAATTCCCCAACCCTCTAGTTTTAGGGACAACCCTGCATTAAAGCATTATTTAATATAATAAAGATGTGGTGTTCCTGCAAATCTGATGTTAACACATTAAGTTTTCCCTGATAAGTAAGTTTCACAACCCAATAGTTTACCCAAACAACCACAATCTATCAGTTAATAGAGGTGAAATATGGAGATAACGAATATTAATCCAAACTCAAAAGTCCATTGAAACAAAAGAAATCGGGAGAAGAGCAAACACGGGCCTCCAAAATATCAGAGGTGGGACCGGTCACACCCGCCTTGTGCTCCTTGTCATGATCGGGAAATAATGGGAAAATCTGTCCACAATTCAGGTGTAAATAATGGTCTAATTATGAGTATGTAAAACGTCAGTCAACATATGACTTAATAATAGATGGTATTTGCTGACAAGGTCATTGTATTGACCATAGAACTTGCAAAATGATGACTTTCGAGAGATTGTTTATATCCTTGTTTCATCAACTTGTTTGTCAACAGCTTGCCTCGTTTAAAAAATGTTCTTACTTGGAGCATGTTCTTGTGTATCAAATCAACTGGGAGATAAACCCCATATGCAGGTGACAAGGGCATATTGCTACATACAAGTAAGGGAAGTTGACGATAGAAAAGTTGAAGTCATCACGTTTATCATAAAGGTTTGTTGTTAGGTTACCATTAACGATTTTTTTTCCTAGTAAAATATCCAAGTATAAAACTGATGTGTGGGACTCCGTGGTACCTTTTTTTCTAGTTCTCTGAGATATATCCAGTCGACCGATAAATTGAAGTAACTATTATTAAATGATAATACGTCGTCAATATATACATGTATAAATGTCGAGTTGAAGACACCACAGCAATTGCAAGTGTCTTCTTCTTCTTCTTCTCATCATGTTTAAGTCTTTGTTAATAAATTTTGCTTTATATGAATGCAAAAATATGTCTGCTAATAACGGAAAGGTGTCTTGTTTTAAAACTTCCTTATACATCTGATGACTTCTCAATGCAAAGCAATAAAACGGGTAGGCACTAGAAGTCCTCAATTTTTTCCGTAATGCTTGACAAAGGAACAAAGGTAATGTCTTACCTGTCTGCTACATCCAATCATTATTTCCTTAAAACAGAACATATTGTCAAATAAAGCATCTTGTAAAAACGTCCGTTCTTGGGAAAATGTCCCAGTCCATATGGTTAACTGATCAATATTGTGTGGGAGTTTTGGTACAAACAAATTGATTGGCGAGTAATTGTTTAAGTACGACCAATTATTGATACTGGACGTTCCCTATCAATAATCATTAACAGAAATGTTTCTGAACCATCGTGTGTTCAGTGGTAATCAAGCAGTGTTTTAAATCACCAAACAATTGATTAGTCTGTCACAGTTCTACTGCTCTACGAGGAAGAATCCTGCCATTCTAGAGAGGGGTTTAAGTGATACCTGTAATTATATCCATTCGGATTGATAAAGTGACCTACTATTGATTCCATTTCTAACACACTGCAAATAAAATTGTCGA